GATTATGAGTCATCTTTGAAGAGGTTCTCAACTTCCCAATATATATAGATTTATAGATATAGATATAGATATAGATATAGATATAGATATAGATATAGATATAGATATAGATATAGATATAGATATAGATATAGATATAGATATAGATATATTTGTTTTCGTAGATTTTCACAGGTACAGGTATGCAGGTTTTGGCGTGTTCGGGTCTTTTCCCGTGTAAGATTGAGAGCATCTTGGCAATGTTTCGACGAGGTCCCACTCGCCATCTTCTTCATATATAAAGATCAGAGGTGGTATTCAGTAAGTTCTGACCAGTTCTGGAGAACCGGTAGCGGAAATTTTGAGTAGTTTGGTGAACCGGCAAATCCCACCTCTGAACTGGAGATTTTACAATATCCTTCCCCTGCCATGCCCACCAAGCCACACCCACAGAACAGGTAGTAAAAAAATTTGAATCCCACCACTGATAAGGATGCTCATGAGCCATTTGGGGTTGGCTGCTATTGCTGGTTTAACATTGAGGAGCAAAAAGAACAACTACATTGTTGACTGCATTCTGTTCGCCCAATATAGGTAGGATTCAACTTACGACCATAATTGAGCCCAAAATTTTCCATTGCTAAGCAAGACAGCTGTTAAGTGCACTGTGCCCCATTTTACGCCCTTTTTGCCATGGTTGTTAAGCAAATCATTGCAGTTGTTCTGAACTGAACTAAATGAGCTGAAATGAACAGAAGAAGCTTCTTGAATTAGAAGCAATTTAAAAAAACACACGCAAGGATGTCCAGTTGCCTTTTGGAAAAGCCCCTTTGGGATATTTCTGCAATTTGCAATGGGAAGTGGTAGTGTCTTCTCTCCCAGCATATTATGCAGGGTATAATGAGCTCAAGCTCTTGCACGGAATATATGAGAAAACAACAGATTGGAGACTTTCTCCCTGTACTCCTTAGCCATTATTTCTTTATTTTTATTTTATTTATTAAATTTATTTGCTGCAAAGGAACTCTAGGCAGCTTACAACATCAAAATAACACACACACACAAACACACTCTCCCTCCATATGTGTGTGTTTGTGTTTGTGTGTGTTGTATAAAATCACAGTAAAATTGCAATAAAAATATAGCTTATAACTAATTGGGAGGAAGGGAGCAGAATGCATGGAGGAGGGAGATTGGAGCTGTAAACATTTCGTTTTACTGCTTTAACCATATTAAACTTGGATAGCTATGATAAGGTTAATGTTCATCTAGACAGAATAGAATAGAATAGAATAGAATAGAATAGAATAGAATAGAATAGAATAGAATAGAATAGAATAGAATAGAATAGAATAGAATAGAATAGAAGAATGGCACCATGGAGGTTTTCTAGTCCAACCCTCTGCTTAACCAAGAAACCTGATACCATTTCAGACAAATGGTTATCTAATCTCTTCTAAAAAACTTCCAGTGTTGGAGCATTCACAACTTCTGGAGGCAAGTTGTTCCACTGATTAATTGTTCTCACTGTCAGGAAATTTCTGCTCAGTTCTAAGTTGTTTCTCTCCTTGCTTAGTTTCCATCCATTGCTTCTTGTCCTGCCTTCAGGTGCTTTGGAGAATAGCTTGACTCCCTCTTCTTTGTGGCAGCCCCTGAGATTTTGGAGTGCCTGGAGTTCATATATTTTTTGTCCTCTTGCTCCTTTCCTCCCTCCGTCTCTTCCTTAGTTTTGAGCCTTCTAATATCTTTTCACCCTTCTCCAGTCTATTCGTACAAAGTCTCTGTTTTCACGGGTGATATCTACGGCGCCGGAACGGATGCAAATGTATTCCTAACCATCTATGGAGACTTGGGTGATACCGGCGAGAGGAAATTAAGGAAGTCTGAAACAAATACCAACAAGTTTGAAAGAGGACAGGTACTGGTAAAAGGATCTTCTTTTTGTGGCTGCAATGCTGGTCTCCAAACAGGGCCGTTCATTCCTGCATTTTACATCTCACTTTCCTTTCAGGATTTTAAGTGTCAGGGTAGTGGTTTAAGAGCTGACTAGCTGCTTCAACGATGCACTAATGTAATGAAGGGAATGAGTCAGCAAGGTTTTTGGCTGCTATCCCTTTAAGAGCCTGTATAATAAGAAGAGGCCCTGTTAGGACATCTCTCTCTGTCTCTCTGTGTGTGTCTCTCTCTTTCTCTCTCTCCCCCCCCAATTTGTTCTTCCCTGCTGTAATTTACTGATTGTTGACTTCTGCCTATAGTACCATATATGCAGGGGTGGGCTGCTGGGGGTTTGCAGGGGTTTGGGAGAACCCCTGGCTAAGATTCTGTGCAGTTCAGAGAACCTCCCAAATCCCACTCCTGGCTGGCCCTGCGCGCCCCATCCCTCCCCTCCCAGGAGTTCCCACGTGTGGAGGCTCGGGGAGGGCAAAAAACGGGGCTCCTGGAAGGCTGGAAATTGGCCCGTTTCTGGCTTCCAGAGAGCCTCCAGAGCCCAGGGAGGCCATTTTCATCCTCCCAGTGGTTCAAGGAAAGCCTCCGGAGTTTGGGGAGGGCAAAGACCATGGTGCAGAAGGTGACTTGGCCATGCCCACCATGACCACACCCACCCAGAAACTGGGCAGAGAACCCTTTGCTAAAATTTTTGAAGCCCAGCCCAGCCCTGCATGTATGTATAGTATATCTTCTTTGTAGATAAAAACCACTATTTATTACAAATCTCTGTTATTGCTCCTGGGTTGTTTCATGTAGTAAAGCCGTGTATACTCTGACATTAAGATATCCTATGTAGAATTCCCTCCTATACAACTATTTACTGGAATATAAAATGGAAGAGGAAATGGTTAACGAAAATATGATAATCTAGACTAAAAAATTCGGCTGTAGTATTGATCTGGACCATTGGGAACGTATCTGTCAGGTAACCTACAAGCTAATATTGTCAGTCTCATATAAGGAGAACTTGTATAAAATGTTTTATCTCTGGCATCTCCCCCCAGCGACGTTAGCCAGAATGTTTCCCAACATGACAGCAAAGTGCCGGAGATGTAATTACAGCCAGGGAACATATTTTCACATGTGGTGGACTTGTCCCCAAGCACGGAGGTATTGACACAAAATTAAATTATGGCTAGAGGAACCAACGAGACAGAAAATTGAATTTAAACTACAAATTTTTTTTGTTAGGCATGCTAGAATCTAATTTTATTATTATTATTCTAAAATTAAATTTATTTATTCAATGTTTTGACAATTAAAAACAAATTTCCACATTTTGCAACATTACTATAACAGTATTTAGATTAGTAAGTGTCCTCTATTAGCGTGTTATCCATCTCTATATTTGGTTCTTCATCATTCTAAACATTTTATACATATATACATTTGTATTAACATTTATTTACACATAAACCTTATTGCTTTATAGTATTTTATACATTATCATTTGACGCCTTTGCGTCTTTTCTTTATCCATTCATACCAGATATCCCATATCTTATAGTATTCTCCTTCTTCCTTATCTTTCAATAGCTTCATCAATCTGTCCATCTCTGCGCATTCGTATACCTTGTTAATTATTGTGGTTTCTGGGGCAGTCATGGCCTGTTTCCAATTTTGGGCGAAAGAGATTCTGGCGGTAGTTATAATATGGAGCATTAAATATTGGTGTTTTTTTAATTCATATTAGACGCTAGAATCTAATTTAAACAAAAAACATCAGTACTTAATACTCCATAATATAACTGCTGCTAGAATCTCCTTTGCCCAAAACTGGAAACAGGCTACAACACCCTCAGAAACCGTAATAATCAATAAGATATTTGAACACGCAGAAATGGACAGATTGATGATGTTGTTGAAAAATAAGAGAGGAGAGTATTACAAGGTATGGGATGTTTGATACAAATGGTTAAGGAGAAGACGCAAAGGCGTCAAATGATAGTATATGAGAAAGTGCAAAGTACTATCACATATGTGTAAATATATGTATGTATGCATAAAAATGTTCACAATTAGGAAGATCTTAATATAGCTATGGATGATATTAATCAATATAAACACTGTTACAGTATCATTGCAAAGTGTGGAAATCTGTTTTTTTTTAATTGTTGAAAGGTTGAATAAATAAACTTTAAAAAAAAAGTTCTCCTCCAGGTTAAATAACTGAGGGGTGAAGGTTGTGCTGAGACTTTTTTTTTTTTTGGAAAAAGGTTTTATTTCAGTTTTTTACATTTTAAAAACATCTTTTTTTTTTTTAGCGAACAGCATGATTCCAGGTTTTCACATTTCCATACAAACATGACTTTGATTACATATTCATCTTTCATATTTAGTTTTATATCTTACCGTTACTTTACATATTTTCTATTATTTTTCTCAAATACTTTCCCCAAGCTTATTTTATAAATTTTCAAATCATTTCTTAACCTATTTCTTTTAACTTTAAATAAGTCTCATATCTTCATATTCACTATACTTCGTACTTTTATCTGTCAGGTTTGCAATTTCATCGCAAATTCTGAATTCATCGTTACAAAAACTCCATCTCAATTCAAACATTTCAAAAAAGCTTCCCTTAAAATTACCAATTAGAGTGTGCCATCCCTATACCTTTTATATCATTTAATTAGTTCCTCTTTAAATCCCAATATTCATTTTACTTTTTAATTATCACCTTAAAAATGTATAACAATGATCTCCTGTGATAAGAGGCTTTGAGTGGTTCAAAGTCACCCAGTAAGTTACCATTGCTGATGGTGGATTTTGAACCCAAGTCTCCCTGAGACAAGAAATGCCCAACCTTCTTTCAACGTGGCATCCAAATTGAGTGTGTAAGTAAATACAGGTAGTCCTCAACTTACAACCATTTGTTTAGTGACGTGTTTGAAATTACAATGACACTAAAAAAGTGACTAATGACCCCTTTTCACACTTATGACTGTTGCAGCATCAATTCCTCCAACTTGGCCTCCAATGTCCAATTAACATCGGCTGGAGAAAAACCTCTCCCAAAAGCAGTTTTCAAAGGGAAGAAATTCCGTCCGAACTCAAAGTACATATAAATTATAAACAAAAACCAACACAAACCACACTGCAGCAATTAACGAGACAGGGCAGGATAAGGGATTGAAGATGTCAAAAGATAATGAAACACACACACTTGGGAGGACACCAGAACTCAGATAAGACTTGACAAACCAGAATAATTTCACGCTTTGCTTCCAGAAACTTTGCCATGCACAGTTTGCCCTTTTAAACAGTCTTCCCAGCTGCAGCCAATGAAGGGGATCAGGGCCCTTTCCTCCCCCGTAAACCATGCAACTCACGTTGCTCCCTTATCCATTCCTCCCTGTGTGCCCTAGGATGCAGAGGGGGTGGGCATGGGCCTTCCTCTGAATGTCCAGCTGGACTGTGCCCTTCCCCAGTTTCCTCCACAGCCACCGGAGCCACACTCCCATTCCCTGCTGTTCCACCTCTCCCTCAGAATCAGATTCCAACAGGGGCATGACAGATGGTTATAGTGCCCTGGGGTCATGTGATTCTCTTTTATGACCTCCTCACAAGCAAAATCAATGGGGAAGCTAGATTCACTTAACAACCATGTTACTAAGATAATAACTGCAGCAATTCACTTAACAACTCTGGTTGTAAAATGAGGCAATGTTCACTTAACGACTGTCTTAAGAACAGAAATTTTGTGCTAATTATGGCGGTAAGTCTGAGGACTACCTGTATTCTTCAGATGGGTTTAAAATGTATATTCCAAAGTTCCCAGACAGTTAGGGCCTTCATAAATACTGGAGATTTTTTAGAAGAGATTGGACAACCATTTGGTATAGACAAGGTTTCCTGCTTGAGCAGGGGGTGGTGGACTACAAGACCTCCAAGCTCCCTTCCAACTCTGTCATACTGTTTGTATAACATAGGTTGTTTAAAGACCAACCAAGAATTTCTCTTCTATCTCCCACAGGAAGACATCTTCACAGTGGAAGCTGTGGACCTGGGAACCGTCTCTAAAACCAAGATACGCCATGACAACACCCTGCCAAGGCCCGACTGGTACTTGGAGAAAGTTGAGATCCTGAACGATGCCACCGACAGCGCCTACCTATTTGAGTGTGAACGTTGGCTGTCCAGAAAAAAGGAGGATCTAAGCATCGAGCGAATCCTTTGGGAAAAAGTAAATCTTGATATTAAAAGGCTTTCCTCATTTCCTAAATTTTAGAGGGAGAGAAGAACACTGTTTTTTTCCCCAGAGAATCAAAGGTAGATTAAAAGAGAGACGGGTTGTCACAAAGAAGAAGGGGTCAAATTATTTTCCAAAGCACCAGAGGGCAGGACAAGAAACAAGGGATGGAAACTAATCAAAGAGAGAAGCAACCTGGAATTGAGGAGAAACTTCCTAACAGTGAGGACTATTAACCAGGGGAACAGCTTCCCTTCAGAAGTTATGGGTGCTCCATCACTGGACAGCTACTTGTCTGAAATGGTATAGGGACTCCTGCTTGAACAGAGGGCTGGACTAGAAGACCTCCAAGGTCCCTTCCAGCTCTATTCTTTTTGATTGAAAGGTGCTTAGAAAATGAAGGGTGCATTAAGCTGTGGGAAAGCTTCAATACTTAATAAATGATTATAAAGTATTGTAGAGAATACAGAATAACAGAGTTGGAAGGGACCTTGGAGATCTTCTAGTCCAACCCCCTACTCAAGCAGGAGACCCTATACCAGTGGTGGCTAACCTCACTCAGCTCACACAGAGGTCGGTTTTTGAGCCCTGCACGCGCGCAAAGCTCAGCTGATTCGCACAGCAGAGTGGATTGTAGCGCCTCAGCTGAGCTAAAAAACAGATCAGCTCACCTCAGCTCACACAGAGGTCGGCCTTTGAGCCCTGCATGCACACTGAGCTCAGCTGATTCGCACAGCAGAGTGGATTGTAGCGCCTCAGCTGAGCTAAAAAACAGCTCAACTCACCTCAGCTCACACAGAGGTCGGCCTTTGAGCCCTGCATGCACACGAAGCTCAGCTGATTCGCACAGCAGAGTGGATTGTAGCACCTCAGCTGAGCTAAAAAACAGCTCAACTCACCTCAGCTCACACAGAGGTCGGCCTTTGAGCCTTGCACGCACACATGAAGTGCACACACATAGAACCGCCCATAGAACCAGTAGGAAACAATTTGGAAACCCACCACTGGTCAGAACGGAATTAGTCATTCCATGAAGTGGGCATAGCTTGTTGTGTGAACACAGCAGCTGCACTTCTTAGCCCAAATTTAGGATTTACAATAATATGCAAACCCAGTCAACATGTAGCCAAGTAGCACAACTGGATGAAAAATTTATGAAATATTGCAGTACAGGTATAAGTCCTCAGCTTATGACTACCGTTGAGGCAAAGGTTTATTTTGCTAAGAGAGACATTTGTTAACATTTTACGACCTTTCTTGCCACCGTTGTTAAATGAATCATTGCAGATGTTGAATAAAAAACACAGTTAAGTGAATCTGGCTTTCCCTGTTGACTTTGCCGGTCAAAAGGTCTCAAGAGGGGATTCCATGACCTCAGGACTCTGCCGCCGTCACAAGTATGAGTCAGTTGCCAAGCGGTCAAATTTTGATCACGTGACCATGGGGATGCTGCAACCGTCCTAAATCCCTTTTTTTTTCCAATGACATTGCAACTTCAAAAGGTCATTAAACGAACTGTTATAATTCGAGAACTCCCTGGCTTTAGAAACTTCAGGAGATTCACAGAAGTACCAATCCTGAGGTTTTCTTGGTTCTGATTAACCAGTGGGAGCTATTTTGTTATAAACCAGAGCCAGAGAATTTTATCTTCTTATTTTTGGCCATTAATCTCAAATATCTGTTAAAACATAATCTTTGAAGGGCCTTTTTCTCGTCTGGTTAAAAATATACAGCTGCAGCTGGGTTTCTGATGCAAGCAGGCCTGCGATAGATAAAACATATGGGAAGTCAGATATTTCTCAAACGATGTCCTTTTGACTCTCTGAAAAATTGTATTTTTATCTTCAGCCTATCAGTGGGGTCCCAGGGAAAATGAAATTTAAGATGGAGCACTTGAGTTTCCAGGATGGAAGGAGAAGCCGTTCTGGTTTGGAAAAGCAAGTTTATATCAAAGATCAAAGTCATCTTCTTGAATATAATTGAGGTTGAAAAGGGGAAAAAACAGAAAATAATGTCCCTTAAAGGCATTTTCACTTTTTTTTTTTTTTTTGAAGTGGAGGGGGTGGGGGGGGGGGGATAACTTCAGGCCAATCAACATCAAGATTGCATCTTATAATATCTGCCAAATTTGATGTTTATTTATTTCTTTTAAACTTTTGGGGGGAGAAAAGGGAGACCATGTCATACTGTCAAGCAAAAAAGTCAGCTTCAGTTTAACAGAATAACAGAGTTAGAAGGGATCTTGGAGGTCTTGTAGTCTAACCCCCTGTTTAAGTAGGAAACCCTACACCATGCCAGACAATTGGCTGTCCTCTCTTCTTAAAAACTTCCAGTGTTGGAGCATTCACAACTTCTGGAGGCAAGTCGTTCCACTGATGAATTGTTCACACTCTCGGGAAATTTCTCCTTAGTTCCAGGTTGTTTTTCTCCTTGTTTAATTTCCATCCATTGTTTCTTGTCTTGCCTTGTGGTCCTTGGGAGAATAGGCTGACTCCCTCTTCTTTGTGGCAGCCTCTCTAATACTGGAAGACTGCTACCATATTCCCCCTAGTCCTTCTTTTCTCTAGACTAGCCAAACCCAAATCCTGCAGCTTTTCTGATGAAGCATAATTAATTTCACCCCTTTTAAAGGCAGTGAATAATAGCAACTCAGTTAGCCAACTCCCACTGGATTCTTTTCAGACACTGGTATTAAATACAACACCATCTGACTTGTCTCTGGAGTCTTTCCATTGACCCCTATGTTAATATATATGTGTTTCCCTGGTGCTGTGCAATTAAAACATTACTTTGCCTTATAAAATGAATCCTTGCAAATCAACCCGTTTTCCTCAACTGCCATACAAGGTTTTCCTGAGCAAGAGGGCGAATGCCGTTAATTTTGAGCCTGTTAATTAATCCACAAATTGTATTTTGAATTCCAACCAGCTCCTCTTTTTTTTTGTTCCTGGTTGGCATTCCAGAAGCTTGCTTCTTCAACCCTGCATGTGATGGGAAGAAACTGGAAACAGGACATTTTTCACGGAAGAAAGGTTAAGATTGCAGGATGAGGCTAAGCAGCAAAGCTGTGGATGGACTATGTAGAGAGTGGTGCTAAAATGTTGGTTTTATTTTGTTTTTGTTGAACGGTGAACTACCTGGAGTTGAACTGGGTAGAATCAGGATGTTATATCAATGATTAATTTATGAAGGGTAGTGCCTTAAAGTATTTGTTTGAATAGAAAGGTAAGGTATTAATCAATCAGGTGATCAAACAAATAGGAAGTGCCTAGCTGTTACATTTGGAATTAAAACATAGAACATTGAAAAACAAAGTTGGAAGAGACCTTGAAGGTCTTCTAGTCTAGCTTCCTACTTAAGCAGGAAACCCTATACAAGGGGTTGCCAACCTTTTGGACCTCAGAGACCACCAAACTCATAATTTTAAATCCCGCAGACCAGAGACCCTGGGAAAATGCCAAAAAATGTCTACAGGAAAATCCCCCATCCTGTTTTCCTACCGATCAATCATTTTTTATTAGGGATTGCAGGATACTGTCTCCAGCTCCCTTCTCAGGGGAGAGAGAGAGAGAGACTTTTGGCTTCATGCAAGGAAAGCAGCAGAAGCAGCAGAAGTCTTTCTTTCTCTCCCCCAAACTCCACCAGAAATGAGTCTTTATGAGACTTATCACGTCGGTGCAGCCTCTTTGAGCAGGATGCCTTGCAGGGTCCCAAAGACTCATTTCTGGCGGAGTTTTGGGGAGAGAAAGAAAGACTTTTGCTGCTTTCCTTGTGTGCAGCCAAAAGCAGAAGAAGGAAGTGGAAAGAAGCAGCCCGGTGGCCAGGCCAGGTGAGTAGGGCAAGTGGGACAAGTTCTGCCCCTCTGCCTTTTCCTTCCTCCCCTCACTACCTTTTGTTGTTCACAATGCAAGCGACGCAAGCCTTATGTTCCCACGGGCCATGTGGGTAGTGCAGCCTTCTGTTCCCATGCAGCCTGGATTAATTGCTTTGGGGTGACGTTTCTCTGCAGACCACCAAAATGTTCTCGTGGACCACCAGTGGTCCCTGGCCCACTGGTTGCTGACCACTGCCCTATACCATTTCAGACAAATGGTTGTCCAGTCTCTTTCTGAAAGCCTCCAGTGATGGAGCACCGACAACTTCTGAAGGCAAGCTATTCCACTGGTTGATTGTTCTCACCCTTAGGAAATTTCTCTTTAATTCTAGGTTGCTTGATTAGTTTCCATCCATTGTTTCTTGCCTTGCCTTCTGGTGCTTTGGAAAGTAGTTTAACCCCCTCGTCTTTTTAGAAGCCCCTCAAATACAAGAATATAAAAACATAAAAAAGCTCCATAAATATTGAAATTTGGAAAGTATATATTCTATGTCCCCTCAGATTCTGCCGTGCTACCTCATCATGGTGGAATAAAAAATTGGGAGCGTACTTGAAGAGTGTACATTCCCAAAACAATTACCAAGGTGTGAAGGTGTGAACTGTCCAGCTAAGACTAGCATATATAGACTATATAGGACAGCAGCAACAGAGGAAAATGTTGGTGGACGATGACCATATTAACAGATAACAGATAATCAGAGTTGGAAGGGACCTTGAAGGTCATCTTGTCCAACCCCCTGCTCAAGAGGGAGACCCTACACCATTTCTGACAAATGGCAGCTCAATCTCTTCTTGAAAGTCTCAAGTGATGAAGCTCCCACAACTTCAGAGGGCAACTTCTGTTGATTGTTCTCCCTATCAGAAAGTTTCTCCTTATTTCCAGGTTGAATCTCTCCTTGATCAGTTTCCATCCATTAATTCCATGTCTGGCCTTCAGGTGCTTTGGAAAATAGCTGGACCCCTTCCTCTCTGTGGCAGCCTTCATTGTTCTCTTTATTGTAGCCATATTTCATGGCGGCCTTGTCACTTTCATCAAGGTAAAAAGGAAATCAATTCAAACCATAGAAATAGATTATTGTCATCTCTTTCTTTCTCAATTGCCCGTACAGTAAATGAGTACCTACCCATTGCAGCACAGAATTATGACAGAAATAACAAAGATGATTAGGGGGCTGGAGGCTAGAACATATGGAGGTATTGGGTATATCTAGTCTAATGAAAAAAAGAACTAGGGACGACATTATAGCAATATTTTAACAGATTAACAGAGTTAGAAGGGACCTTGTAGGTCATCTAGTCCAACCCTCCACCCAAACAGGAGACCCAACACCATTTCTGACAAATGGCAGTCCAATCTCTTCTTGAAAGCCTCAAGTGATGAAGCTCCCATAACTTCTGAGGGCAACTTCTGTTCCATCGGTTGATTGTTCTCTGTCTCAGAAAGTTTCTCCTTATTTCCAGGTTAAATCTCTCCTTCTTCAGTTTCCATCCATTAATTTTAAGGAATCATTTTACATCATGTGATAAAAGACAGTAGTAGACCACTCCAGTTTTTATCAAGAGAACCATATGGATAGGCAACATAGTATATTTATGTACAGGCACTCCTCAACTTACAACAATTCATTTAGGGACCATTCAAAGTGACAACGGCCCTGAAAAAAGTGGATTATGATCATTTTTCACACTTACGGCCGTTGCAGCTTTCCCATGGTTGAGTGATCGTAATTCAGATGCTTGACAACTGGCTCATCTTTATGACGGTTGCCATCTCTCAGGGTCATATGATCACCTTTTCCATCCTTCCCACAAGCCAAGTCAGTGAATAAGCCAGATTCACTTAACAATTTAAATTCACTTAAATCACTAATTTAACAATTGCAGTGATTCATGTCCTGAAATGGGGCAGAATTCACTTCACAAATATCTCGCTTAGCCCACAGAAATGTTGGGCTCAATTGTGACATGATCAATCTCTCTCAGAAGAAAATTAATTAATTTATTTTATTAATTTATTTTGATTTGTCAATCGCTTACAAGATAATAGGTATAAGTATATACATAGTTATGAATACATGAAATGGGTACATATAAGAAAAATAAAAGAAACAATAGGACAGGGACGGTAGGCACGTTGGTGCACTTATGCACACCCCCTACAGACCTCTTAGGAAAGGGGTGAGGTCAATAGTAGACAGTCTAAGGTTAAAGTTTTTGAGGTTTGGGGAAGAAACCACAGAGTCAGGTAGAGTATGCCAGACATTGACCACTCTGTTGCTGATGTCGTATTTCCTGCAATCAAGTTTGGTGCGGTTAACCTTGAGTTTGTATCTATTGTGTGCTCTTGTGTTGTTATGGTTGAAGCTGAAGTATTCATTGACAGGTAAGTCATTGCAATGTATGATTTTATGTACCATACTTAGATCAGACCAAAGACGGCATAATTCAAGGTTTTCTAGGTCTAGAATTTCAAGTCTGGTGGCATAAGATATTCTACAACGAGTAGAGGAGTGGAGAACTCTTCTTGTGAAATATTTCTGGACTTTCTCAACTGTGCTAATATCAGATACGTAATGTGGGTTATTCTTCTGAACATTTACAACTAGATGTTTGTAAAATACAGGCATTCCTCAACTTACAACCAATTGGGGTTGTAAGTTGAGGAATACCTGTATTTTGTCTCCACAACTGATTTGATGGCACCGCATCATGTCGTAAGTATTTTAACAAAATGGCTGCCATGAAGGAGGCTTGCTCAGTCACTAAGGGATTCCCATAATAGATGTAATCAGATACAAAATACTACTCTATTAAAAGGCACACTGCTAATAGCTGAGTATCCATGATCTCTAGTCTTTCCAATAACTGTGAGAGGGATTTTGGAGTCCTTGTAGTAAATCACTTAAATATGAGATAGCAGTGTACCTCAGCTGCCAAAAAAACCCAACACAGTCTCAGGCTGCATTAACAGAGGAATAGACTAAAGATAACGTAAAGTATTAGTACTGCTTTATAAAGCCTTAGTGAGACCACAATTTGAATACTGTATCCATTTTTGGTCACCACGATATAACAAAGAGGTTGAGACTTTACAAAGAATGAAGAGAAGAACAAAGATGATTATGGAGTTTAAAACATATGAAGAACACTTGCAGGAATTGGATATGTCTAGTGTAATGAAAGGACTAGGGGGGGCATGAGAGCGGTCTTCCAATATCTCAGGGGCTGCCACAAAGAAGAGGGAGTCAAACTATTCTCCAAAACACCTGAAGGCAGGACAAGAAGTAATGGATGGAAACTAATCAAGGAGAGAATGAATCCAGTAATGAGGAGAAATCTCCTGAAAAATGAGAAAATTCAAGCATGGAACGGTTTGCCTTCGGTAGTTGTAAGTGCTCCAACACTGGGGGATTTTCAGAAGAGATTGGAGAGCCATTTGTCTGAAATGAAATATGGTTTCCTGCTTGGGTGGTGGGTTGGTCTAGAAGACCTCCAACTTCCCTTCCAACTCTGTTATTCTGTCTTTGGCACTGCATATTTGATTTTAAAAAAATCAAGAGGGTCTTTAACTGTCATATCCTATCCATCCAAGGTATTCAGGTAACAGCTGTAGAATTAATCCAATTATCATCCCAAAAAATCTGTGAAAGAGGCTCAGGAGATGCAGAGAGGAAGGGGGGAAATTGTTTAAGGTAACTTTGTAAAGTTTACTTTACTTTACTTTATTTTCATTGCACCTCGTACAACGAAATCAAACACCATCTTCAGTGCAAATCATGACCATGACCATGAAAATAAAAACAAATACACATCCTTCACCTTCCACACATTGAACCGAAAACTCCCAACACCGCACTAACACTGCACTATACAGCAGAATTCAAAAGAGCTACTGCCCTGGGATAGAAGCTCTTTTTCAGCCTATTTGTCCTTGATTTTATTATTCTGTACCGTCTGCCAGATAGTAACAGTTCAAAAAAAGGGTTCCCAGGATGAGATGGATCTTTGAGAATGTTTTGAACTTTCTTAAGGCAGCGGGAGCTATAAAGCTCTTCCAAAGAGGGGAGAAGGCAACCAATGATCCTCTGGGCAATGACGTTAACCCTCTGGAGTGTTTTCCTATCTGCCCCTGTGCAACTGGCAAACCATACAGAGGTGCAGTATGTTAAAATGCTCTCTATGGTGCAGCGGTAGAAAGTCACCAGCAGTTTTTTCATTCAGTTGTTGTTTCCTGAGAAGCCTCAGGTAGTATAATCTCTGCTGGGCCCTTTTGACCAGGGCTGCAATGTGAGCACCCCAGGTCAGGTCCTCTTTTATGGTAACACCCAGAAACTTAAAACTGTCTACCTGCTCCACTCAGTCTCTATTGATAAGCAAGGGATGGATATCTGATCTGTTCCTTCTATAGTCCACTATCAGCTCCTTGGTCTTATTGGTGTTGAGGACCAAGTTATTGTGTCCACACCACAAAAGCAACTGATCCACCTCATCTCGGTAGGCAGACTCATCCCTCCCAGAGATGAGTCCCACCACTGTTGTATCATCTGCAAATTTAGCAATAGTATGACTAAAATAGTATTACTAAAGCCTGTGGCTGAATGAGATTTTGAACCAGAATTTCCTTCCAGTCCCCCCAAAATAAATTCAGCAATAATATTATCTGGAGGTGGGAAATATCTCCTGACTCAGGAAGAAAACAGATGCAAGTATTGGTGTTCCTTCATATATTTGTGCTCTCTTATTAGAACTATGATCCTGACTGCCTGAGCGTAGAAAACGCATCCCTGAACCGAGACAACAATGCCAATCTAAAGGACAAGAAGACCAACAGCTCTGCGCTTGATGGGTCACGTAAGAAAGTAATACTGTGTGGAGAAAGCAGGATATAAGACCATTCCAGGCTTGTACCCAGACTCAACAAAATCTCTTTATTGTATCTTGCTGAAGTTATGGATTTATGTCTAGATCAGTGCCTTTTTAAACTTGGCATGCTGGCTGGAGAATTACAAGAGTGGAAATCCACACATCTTAAACTTTCTTGCTTTTCTTTGAAGACCTTTTGCTTCTCATCCAAGAAGCTTCTTCAGCTCTGACTGGATGGTAGGGAATGGAAGGATTTGTACTCCTTTAGGACAGCTGGTCATTTACATTCTTTTAGAGAGTTGTTGAGGCCACTTGGAGGTCTGTCTGTGTCCTCAGGGTCACCTGAGTGGTGCAAATGGGTTTGGAACCTTCTTGGAGCTGCTGTGTTGTAGACTGGAGATGGATGGTGTCGTATCCCTGCCCCTCTGTTGAGAGAGGGCTGTTCAATTTTGACATAGATGGCCTCTTTAACCCTTCTTTCAAACCAGTGGTCCTCTCTGTCCAAAATATGGACAAAGCAATTCCAAGAATGCTTCCATTTGCACTACTCAGGTGACCCTGAGGACACAGATAAACCTCCAAGTGGTCTCAGTGACTCTTTTAAAAGAATGCAAATGATCAGCTGTCTGCAAGGAATATAAATCCTTCTATTCCCCACCATCTAGTCAGAGCTGAAGAAGCTTCTTGGATGTGAAGCAAAACGACTTCAAAGAAAAAAACAGAAAGTCCAGTTGCTTCTTGAAAAAAGCATCTTTAGGACAACCATGATCTGGATGACTAAGAACCTCCACAGACACATATCTTAAAGTTACCAAGTTTGAAAACACTAGTCTAGACTGTTTCACACACATTTTAGTAGGTCTTTGACAATTCACCACAGCCAACTCACCATGGCCAACTCACTACAGCCAACTCATCATGGCCAATTGGGCTCAGCCAACTCACCATGGCCAACTTATCACAG